ATGGCTTTGGTTGGTTGTTCTTTTTCACTGTACGGCCGCAGACACATTCTGGTGTTCGTGCGTAGAAGTAGATAGTCGAAACGTAGCCGTTACGAAGGACGCAGCTGGGACAACTTGAAAGGTATGTGCTGAGAGGCTTTGGATGATAGTGCGGAGTCCCCGTGTTCTCTCCAGAATTGGGGCCTCTCCTCCTTCTCCCTCTCTCCTCTCTCATGCGAGCTAATACACACAGTTAAACAGCAGCCCCAAGTCCGCCGGCCCTTAACAGGGCTAGATCACACGGACACGCTAGCGTTCGTCCTCCCGGGAGGATCCGCCAGACGGTGCGGGCTATGCCAAGGGAGAGGCAGCGGGGTTCCAGCAGCCAGTGTACGCAACTCTGACCTGGACGCTTTCTGACTGGAACGGAGCAGTAACTGAACGAGTAGAGATGACAGAGGTGCAGGAGATGATGGGCATGCTGCCATCGCTACTGCAGGCCGAGTCGGAAGGGCAAGGCCAGGAGGGGTCGGCGGCGCTGCAAGATGGCGCCGCGGGTGCGGCGGAAATGGGGGTTCCGCCGAGCAGCCACCGAGAGCTGTGTCCTGCGGTGGTCGTCAGGGAGGGCAACACTGCTGGAGGAGAGAGCAGCAGTAGGCCGGGCGTGGAAGGCGCCCTGGTGCGGGATGTGGAGGTCCCTGCTGCAGGTGGGTTTGGTGCATTCCAAGACACCAACTCTCTTCGTAGTATGTTCGGCAGTGCTTGCGTACAGCAGCCTGCTGCCGGAGACACTGGTGAGAGTGTCACAGCAACCGATCAATCCATTCAGGGGAGGTCGGGTGGAGAATGCAGCACGGACGGAAGGGTCGTGTCCACTGTTCTGCCTTGCTGTAGTAGCGGGCGGGGCGCACAGAAGTCGCCGAAATTGATGGTGCTATCAGAACGGACGGAGGGGCCGTGAAGTCGCGCAGTTTTGGCGCGCACTCCATCTGCGGTAAGGCGGTGGATCAACATGAAAGGCGTTAGAGTAATCGGCGCAACAGAACGGACGGAGGGGCCGTGAAGTCGCGCAGTTTTGGCGCGCATTCCATCTGCGGTAAGGCGGTGGAGCACCAGGACGGTAGAGAGACCGTTGGGCAGGATTGCCGGAGACACTCAACCATGGATCGACCGCGCGACGGCGCGGGGGGGGGGGGGCGCCGTACATGCTTGATGCTGGCGGTGTTTTGTTAAGTCGATCCAAGGCCGGCAGTAGAGGCCGGGTACGCCCTACCACGGTTGACACGCGCGACGGCACGTCGGGGGGTGGGCGCCGATCACGCGGGAGCGGGCGGCGTTTTTTTACCACAGCACGGACGGAGGGGCCGTGGCTGCTTTGCCTCGTCGTCGGAACGGGGGGGGCAGCATTATAAGGCGCGCGGAGGTGGCGCGCAAACCCAGCACGGACGGAGGGGCCGTGGCTGTTCTGCCTCGTCATAGGAGCGGGGGGAGTAGCATATTAAGTCGCGCGGAGGTGGCGCGCAACCATCAGCCGGAGGTGGGTGGTGGAACGGGGCACAGCTAAGTGGGTGTCATCAAAGTCGCGTGGGGAGGTGCCGCGCGCATTTCATCAGCCGGGAACGAGCGGTGGAGACAAGAATGCGTCAGGATGGACGTGAGGAATTAAAGGCGTGCTTCGCCATCAAGATGTGTTGGTGGAGTAGTTGGAATAAGCTTGGATTTTGTTGTCTTGTTTTGTGTGGAGGTACCAGTTTGAGGTCGTGATGAAATCAAGCAACTTGTATTCGAGGAAATTCTGTTCACTGTTGCGTGTTTCTTTCCGCCGTCATTTGCGCGTTGTCTTGCACCCAAATCGTGGTTGTTCTGAATGTTTGTGTTCGTCGTTATGCCATTAGTGCATCCTTCGCCGGTGACGTTGTGTTGCTGGTGATGATGGCAAAGTGTCGGGGGGTAGAGACGTTCACGTTGGTAGAATTTGTCACCATCACTCATGTGTGGGGGCTACGCGGTTATATGTGACCCACGGCCTAAGTAGGAGGCGCAACAAGTGTTTTGTTTACCTGAGTTGTTGCAGAACAAGGGAGGGTGGAAACGGGCGTGTTTCTTTTGAGAATGTTACGCTTGAAGAGTACGCCCGGTCTTGGTATTATGCAACTTGACAGGTTGGTGTGTCGGGCAGGTATGCAGTTGTTAGTGGAAGTCGATTTTGTTTTCACGTACGGAAGCATGTTGGTTGTGTCTGTTTTGGGAAGCGACATCTAGGTGATGGCCATGTGCGTGTTCCTCTGGGCGCCGGTGTTGCGCAAGGGAGGGCACTAGGCTTAGGTTCCTGGTGTGCTTGTCTATAATGCAGACAGCGTAGATGCTTGGGGTTCGTAGTACAGCGTTACCAAGTTGTGGGGGGGCGTTTGTGTTTTGCGTAGTTGTGCTTGAAGGTTCAGTAGCAAGTTGATGTATCCTTGATTGAAGGAGAACTGAGGATTGATTTGGTAGTTTGCAGATGGTGGACCTTGTTTGAAGCAGGCTACATTCGGCAGGTTGTATATTTCTCAAAAGCGGGCATCCTTTGGAGAATCGAGTTTGATTGGTTTTTCAGTTGGAAACAGGTCATGATTTTGAGTTCGTGTAGGATTGCAGATGGTTGAACCGAAGGCAGGGAGAACGTACCTGTTCGATGCAGTTTTCGTGTGGAATGCAGATAGACAGGGAGGGCGTTGCCTGTATGTGTGTGACACCTGAAGAGTCAGTTGGTGCTGCACAGCAAGGAGTTCGTTCCATCATGTCGGAAGGATTTGTCAGAGGCGTTGCTCGAGGTAGTAGAGCGTTGCCTAGAATTTGTAATCCGAGCGTCTGGAGTGGTTTTATCTTTGTCTTCTTGCAGTACGGCCGTTGGAATCATTGGTGATATGGACGGCTATTGGATTTTGTTTGAGCCGTTGGAATCTTTCGTGATATGATCGGCGTGAGGCGTTGAATTTCTGAGGGGTTTTGATCCGGTGGCCGGGTTTCCCCTTTACTTTTGGTTTGTCGTTGTGTTTCGGTTTTTCGGACGTATTTTCGACGCACTAGAGGTTCTTCACTGGCGTAAAGAACCAGGGAGGGTGTTCGTGCGTAGAAGTAGATAGTCGAAAAGTAGCCGTTACGTAGGACGCAGCTGGGACAACTTGAAGGGTATGTGCTGAGAGGCTTTGGATGATAGTGCGGAGTCCCCGTGTTCTCTCGAGAATTGGGGCCTCTCCTCCTTCTCCCTCTCTCCTCTCTCATGCGAGCTAATACACACAGTTAAACAGCAGCCCCAAGTCCGCCGGCCCTTAACAGGGCTAGGGCTCACGAACATCTGACAGCACTTTTGCCCCGCCAGCTGCTTGTTCCATGCCTACCATAGTGCTTTTGTACAGACAGCACTTCAGACAGCAGAATGCTGTAGTCGGCAATCTTCCGTTTTGGTATAGAGTGGGACAGGGAGGGGTTGATGCTACTGCTGTAGTCGAACGGTGGGACGGACGTGCAGTTCAGTTTTTGGGCACGCATACGGTGCTGCAGGGATTTTTAGGTGTACCTCTTCGGGCTCTTGGATACATTTTTCCCGTTATATGTGTGCGTGTTCTTTAGATCTTCAGATGGCTCTAGCACTTTCGTGACCACGAGCTGAGAGTCTTTGCTAGATTTTGGCATTTAGCAACTGACATGCGGTTTCATGTGAAGACAACAACAACAACAACAACAACAACAACAACTTCCGTACTTCTCGCCCCCCGCAAGTACCCCCCTCCCCCCCCCTGCGGCCTTCGGCCTCCCTAGCGAGACAGCGCCAGCGCACAGCCCACAGAGATCATGGAAGACCTACCCACCCCAGACATCGAAGCCTACGTTGGTGGTAACCAGTAAGCTTGCTACGTACAGCTAGTTAGTTGACGTTCTCTCGGCTTTGCCTGCCGGGGAAGAAAACACGGATGGATGTCGGACGAGCTGTCGCCTTTGAGGTCGCTTCGAAAGTCGGAGCTCGCAACTGCTCGCAGGTATCGGCGCCTGAACCGCTTGAAGACATGAGCCACGCGAAGCGTAAGAAGGCAGCTGCCGACCACCCGGGCCTTTGCGGCGTCTACCACGCTCATATCATCGCGGCAGTGAGGACGCAGGACGTAGCCGAGAAATGGAATCAAACGACAGGGAACAAGTACCG